TAAGCACCTGCCTGGCAAACACAAAATCCTGAGTTTGACCCATAGTACAAAAAAAAAAAAAAAAAAAAGCAATGACCTAGTGTTACAGTGCAGACTACATGGGGGGATACTATTCAGCCATACAAAGGAAGACCTGCTCCTTCTACAGCAAGGGTGGACCCCGAGGCCATGCTGTTCACGGAACTGAACCAGGCACACAAGGACACACGCTGCAGGGTCCCACTCCCAGGAAGCCCAGCGCTGTCAGATCCACACAGACAGGAGGATGGGGGTCAGCGTCTCCTGGGGACAGGTTCCTCTGGGGGAAGTGGGAGGTCCCGGAGGCGCACGGCGCAGACAGCACCCAGCTGTGGGACATGCTCGATGCTGCTGAGCTATGCGCCTAGAAATGTCACCAGGTGTGGTAGCACACGCCTGTAACCCAGGCTGAGGCAGGAGAAACACTTCGAGTTCAAGCCCAGCCTTCACTACATGGTGAGGCCTTGTCTCAAAAAATTAAAGAGAGGGGCTAGGGAGATAGCGCAGTAGAATAAGCACTTGCCTAGCAAACACAAGGTCCTGAGTTCAATCCCCAGTACCAAAACAAAACAAACAAACAAACAAACAAAACAGAAAAATAAGAAAATGCTCAGAAAGGGGCTGGATGTGGTGATAGAGCACTTGCTGAGTGAATGTAAAGCCCTAGGTTGAATCCCCACCACCAAAGACAGCTATCATAATTTTTTTTTTCAGTACTAGGGATTGAACTTGGGACCCTGAGCTTGCCAAGCAAATGCTTATTCTACTGAGTTATCTCCCTAGACCAGCTATCATAATTTTGTTACATATATTTTACTACAAATTTTAAAAATTTTAAGACAGGCCCTCACTAATAGCCCAGGCTGCCCTAGAATTCGTGGTGCTCCTCCTGCCTCCCCCTCCCAAGCGCTGGGATGACCTGTGCACCACATACAACATGCTGGGCAGCGGCGACTGTCTGCTGACCAGGCTGTTTCGGCTTCTCCACAGCATGGAAACAGCCATGAAAGTCCTCAGCGTCTTCTGGGGACAGGGCCGGGACACGGCCCAGGCTGGGCTGCTGTATCACTCATAATTGAGGAAGCGGAAACGGCAGCCAGCGTGGGCAGAAACGGAGACCAGACTCAGAGCTGCCGGCTCCCTGGACTCCTCGCCAAGATCCCCAGCTGTCCTCCGGAGGGGCTGCGTGGGTGGGACAGAGAATGAGGTCCTGGGAACGCCGTCCTGCAGCCGCACCCTCAGGAGCGGCCCAGGCCTCCCTCGGTACCCACTGGGTGCTGGGCACATGGGGCCCTGGGAAGACACTGGGGCTGGGGCAGGAGTGTCTCAAGTTGGAAACCAACCTTGGCAATTTAGCGAGACCCGCTCAAAAAACAAAAACAACTGGGATGCAGCTCAGCGCAGAGGGCCTGGCTTCCATTCCCGGCACCCAAAGTAACCCATGTGCCACTCTGTCTCCTCAGCCTCACTCCTGGCCCGGCAAGCCACTGTTCTGATTTCTGGCCTCCCTGTCTAGCATGATTTGTGTCTATACTTCAGCCTCATAGGTGTATATTTGTGTCTGAGTTTTTTGTTTTTGTTTGTTTTTTTTTTGACATCAGTTATTTTTATTTTAAAGAAAAAAAATAAAAACAATGGTACAAAATCTCAAAA